TAACATCGGGGTGAGCTTATATCTTTAAAAATGTCATTTGTTGACAAGATACAAGGTAATTTTTTAATCATTGAAATTTTTTAAGATATAAACTCATTTTAATATTAAGCTCTTCGAGAGCTTTCATTTGAGTACCCACATACATTTTCATATATTTTTCACGTATACATATATATAATATATATAAATATATAAAAAATTTATGTGGGTACTCAAATGAAAGGTCTTGAAGAGTGTAACATCGTGATGAACTTATATCTTTAAAAATGTCAATAGTTCACAAGATATTTGTTAAATTGCACATGTAATTTCTTAACAATTGATATTTTTAAATATATAAGCTCATCCTGATGTTCCACTCATCAAGGGCTTTCATTTGAGTACCCACATGCATTTTCATATATTTTTCATATATTCATATATATAAATATATGAAATATATGAAAAATTGATGTGGGTACTCAAATGAAAGGTCTTGATAAGTATAACATCGGGATGAGCTTATATCTTTAAAAGTGTTAATGCTTCACGAGATACAAGGTCATTTCTTAATTATCTATCTAGAGATAGAGTATTTTAATAATATAGATTCATGAGAAATTTAGTTTATTTTTTATTTATCTGTCGTCAGGTCACCATCAAGAAAGATACCTTTGAAGAATCTGATGATCCAAAAAAAATGGTGGGGCCGGCATCAAAAAATGTGGAAGCCAGTCCAATCTGTAGTAGCTTAAATCTATATCCCAAAGAGTCAAACCCTTTCCCCGCTCAATATGTTGATAAATCATCAATATCAGAATTATTCAAACGTGAAGTTAAAATCAAGCAAGAACCCATCAGCGATGTCGACACTGTTTATGGGACCTACGATGAGGCTACTAATTGTATAACTATCATTTATCCTGGAGAAGATGAGGGTATCAGAATAGATGAATGTGTCCAAGAAGTCGGCAGTGATGAATCCGCTAATTTAACGCCTAATTATTATAACAATGTTTCACCTGCTTACTCAATAGCAGACTCTATGTCACCCTCTAGCATGCATTCTGATGATTCTGATGCTAATTCTGTATGCTATAAAATTAAATCTAATATATCCAATTGTGGATACGAATCTCATGATTTTGCGCAAGCTGAAAGGCATACTGACACTGCAGCACTCACAGATTTATGGCACGAAAGTTTTTCGGAATTATTTCCTAGTCTTGTTTAATTATTTAATTAAATTTATCTATTTTTTAAATGATAATTAAGTTAGCCGACATCTAAAAATTTTTATAAATTTTTTTTTTCATTAAAAGAATCATTACAAAAAAATAAAAAAAAAATTTCAATTGTAAAAAACTTTAAAAACTGCAATTGCAATTTTTCAAAAATATTTTTTAGTTGTAATTTAATGAGAGAAAAAAAAGCAAAAATTTTTTAGAATAATACTAAAATTAGCCGACGTTTTTAATTTTTTGATTTTTTTTTTTAATAATTAAATTAGAACAAAAAAATATTTTTTAAAAATTGCACTTGCAGTTTTTAAAGTTTTTTACAATTGAAATTTTTTTTTTATTTTTTTGTAATGATTATTTTAATGAAAAAAAATTTAAAAAATTTTTAAATGTCGGCTAAATTAATTTTCATTTTTTTAGATATAAGTGTTCACTAAAATTTTTTTATTGTACTCTGTAAATGTAAATATATAATTATATTTAATATATATTTTTATACTTACTTAAATTAATTTAAAAATAAAATTTATGTCATCACAATAATTGTTTCTGTCGAGTACATTTTTTGAAGATCAAATTTCGTGTTCAAAAAATGTTTTAAATTTTATTAAGAATTTTTTTCTTAACAATATTCGATTATAAAATAATCGTTTAAAGTGCGCACTTTGAATCAAATTTTTTTCATACAATTTCATCGTGTAAGTGTCTCATCTATAATTTGACTTTATGTTATAAGAAATAATTGTATTAATTAATTTATAAACAATTGAAGTGGTAAAAGCATTTTGTAATGTATTGTAATTAAAAATAATTTATTAATAAACTCTAAGATTGTGTCTATTATTATATATTGCCTTTATTGTAATTAAATTTTTTATTAGATAAGATTTCCATCGATAGAATACAAGGTATATTTTATTGACCCTTTTTAGTTTTTTTTAATTAGTCTATTGATTAGTTAATGATAGGAATATTAATACTGTATTAATAGAACCATGTATTAATATTTAATTAATATCAATTTAACTAATTGAATAATCAAATATTTATGAAAAACATAAAAAAATTCCGTGACAATTGTCAAACAAAAATAATGTCAGTTTTTATAATTATCTGTACATATATAAATATAACAATTGTAAAATTATATATAGAAAAGTATTTTTAATCATTTTTAATTACTATTTAAATTATAAAAGTTAGTTATTATTATATATCTAGATCAAAAGATAAAATTTTATAAATTTTATAAAATAACAACGATCTGTTAATAGAAGACATTAGTGTTTTGTTTTTAATTATTTTAAAATTTGGAATCGGTATACAAAATTTTGAGCTGTAAATTTATAATAATAAAATTAGCTGACGTTTTTAATTATTTCATTTTTATTAAATTTGAACAAAAAAATATTTTCAAAAATTGCATTTCAAGTTTTTTACAAATGTAATTTTTTTTTTATTTTTTTTTGTAAAAAACTTGAAAAACTATAAGTGCAATTTTTAAAAAATATTTTTTAATTTTAATTTAATAAATAAAAAATAAAAAATTAAAAACGCCGACTATTTTAGTACTATAAATTTTTAATCAATTACTTTAATTGCGTTGCCGCAATTTTTTTTATGACTTTTTTAAATCAGTTAAACATATTTAATCATAAAAAATAAATTCTATAAGTCACATAACTATTTTAAAATTATCAGAAGTTTAAACTTTCGAGTACTTATTTGCATGAATATTATTCTAATGCAAAATAAAAAATTTTGTTAAATTAATTGATAACTTTTAATTAATTAAATATTTGAATAATATTTTTTTTTTATCCTTCTATTATAAAATAATTAGAATAATAATTAACCAAAAAGCTTTTCAAAGCAACCATGACAATAAGGTTTATCATTTTGTTCTTTGAAAGTCCCTTTATTGAGTTGCTTAAGGCAAAAGGCGCAAACAAAATGTTCCGGATGAAATTTACGAAACATTGCAGTAATACAACGCCCTGAAAAATAAATAAAAAGAGATTATTTATGAACTTATAATAAAAAAGTGTATGCAAGATATTAGATAAATAGTCATATTAAATACCAGTAATCGGTTTATGACAACCAGCGCAAAGAGACCCACATGTCAGTTTTTATAATTATCTGTACATATATAAATATAACAATTGTAAAATTATATATAGAAAAGTATTTTTAATCATTTTTAATTACTATTTAAATTATAAAAGTTAGTTATTATTATATATCTAGATCAAAAGATAAAATTTTATAAATTTTATAAAATAACAACGATCTGTTAATAGAAGACATTAGTGTTTTGTTTTTAATTATTTTAAAATTTGGAATCGGTATACAAAATTTTGAGCTGTAAATTTATAATAATAAAATTAGCTGACGTTTTTAATTATTTCATTTTTATTAAATTTGAACAAAAAAATATTTTCAAAAATTGCATTTCAAGTTTTTTACAAATGTAATTTTTTTTTTATTTTTTTTTGTAAAAAACTTGAAAAACTATAAGTGCAATTTTTAAAAAATATTTTTTAATTTTAATTTAATAAATAAAAAATAAAAAATTAAAAACGCCGACTATTTTAGTACTATAAATTTTTAATCAATTACTTTAATTGCGTTGCCGCAATTTTTTTTATGACTTTTTTAAATCAGTTAAACATATTTAATCATAAAAAATAAATTCTATAAGTCACATAACTATTTTAAAATTATCAGAAGTTTAAACTTTCGAGTACTTATTTGCATGAATATTATTCTAATGCAAAATAAAAAATTTTGTTAAATTAATTGATAACTTTTAATTAATTAAATATTTGAATAATATTTTTTTTTTATCCTTCTATTATAAAATAATTAGAATAATAATTAACCAAAAAGCTTTTCAAAGCAACCATGACAATAAGGTTTATCATTTTGTTCTTTGAAAGTCCCTTTATTGAGTTGCTTAAGGCAAAAGGCGCAAACAAAATGTTCCGGATGAAATTTACGAAACATTGCAGTAATACAACGCCCTGAAAAATAAATAAAAAGAGATTATTTATGAACTTATAATAAAAAAGTGTATGCAAGATATTAGATAAATAGTCATATTAAATACCAGTAATCGGTTTATGACAACCAGCGCAAAGAGACCCACGCTTTGCATGATAATGTGTTTCGCAATATGGCAAACCCTCATGGTCAAAGAAAGAACCGCCTTGGAATTTTTGTCGACAGTCCTGCAATTGATATTTACAAGTTGAATTATTAAAATAGCCAGATAAATATTTAACGAATCATTATTATCTATTTTGATTTCTGCGAATGGCAAAACAATGTGTTTGCCAAAAATTTCTCCAAGGCGCTGAGACATAAAGCATCATTAAGACGAGATTGAGTGAATCTCTTTAAACAACAGCTGAATTATAATTTATTGTCCTAAATGAATGTTTACGGAAATAGCGTAGTTTCTTTTAATTATTATTGCTATTTATGTAATAAATACTGATAAAAATATTAGGTAATTATTTACAAGTGGGGTCAAACGTATTTTTGACCATATTTAGGTAAAAAATTAACATTTTCAAATTTTTTTTTTTTTGATTCTGCTTGTTTTTACGGCGCATTTCAAAAGTTGGAAAAAATTTTGGCTCTCATGTTTTTGGATGAAATTTCTATTTTATCTTTTTTTGATATATATTTGTTTGAAAAGTATATAAAAAAACGAAACGAATAAAAAAAAAAAATTTGAATACAATTTTTTTTTATTTTTTTGAAAATTTATTAAAATTGTGGTAATTAACTTTTTTTTTTTAAATTGTTCATTTTTTATCTTTTTTTCAAAGAAATTTCTATTTTATCTTTTTTTGATATATATTTGTTTGAAAAAGTATATAAAAAAACGAACAATTAAAAAAAAAAAAATTTGAATACAATTTTTTTTTATTTTTTTGAAAATTTATTAAAATTGTGGTAATTAACTTTTTTTTTTTAAATTGTTCATTTTTTATCTATTTTTCAAAAAAAAAAAAATAAATCGGTTCTCATATTTTTGGATAAGATTTTTGTCTTATTTTATTTTTTTTTTTGATACATATTTTTTTTTAATTCATAAAAAAACGAACAATTTAAAAAAAATTTAAATAACACAATTTTTTTTTTATTTTATAAATTTTGTGCAAAATTTTTAAAATTGTGATATTCAATTTTTTTTTAATTGTTTATTTTTTTAAGTATTTTTCAAAAAAAAATATATCAAAATTAAAAAAAAAAAATTTCGTTCAAAAAAACGAAAATAAAAATAGTAGACCCTACTTGTAAATAATTACCAAATATTATCAAAATTACATTCTACTTTACACAATACATACACAAATCAAAATTTTTTCAAGGTCGGTATCTAGGTCATTATACTCTTTCAACACTTAGACCTTGACCCCGAAATAAAAACCAAACAATTCAACAAAGACCGCGGGTATATAAACCACGCGTGCTTGTGTATGTGTGTGTTTATTTTGTTTTGTTTTTTTTTAATTTTTTTTTTTTTTTTTTTTTACAATATTTATTTAACATGAGACAAATCTTATCAAGATTACGTACAATCTACATAGAAAAAATAGAGAAAAATGCAACAAGAGAAAAAAAAAATTTTTTCTCTTCTTGCAAAATAATCTTTGACAACCTCTATAAATTTTGATTTGTGTATATTGTGTATTGTAATATGTAAATAATTATTTTCTTCAAAAAATGACTTATCATCATAATTTTGCTTATCTAAAATATTTTAGGGCTTGTGGGCTCCACATGGTTGGAGCCCGAGGGCATGTGGGATTTCAAAGCAAGATGATAAAATCATTAAAATTAAGGCATGAAAAAGTATCATTCATTAAGCTTCCTCTTCTTCTTCTTCTTCATCAACTCCAACGCATTTGGGACATACTGGTTTTCCTTCCATCGCATAAAATGATTTACCTGACACAGCTTTTTTGCAGTCCTATAATTTAATTTACATTAAAAATATTATTTCAGCCTAATTAATTAATCCCTAAGGCGAAAAAATTGGCATTTTTTCTTTGTTCAAATTTGAGATTAAACATATAAATAGTCGTTTAAATAACTGCGAAAGTTCTGGCCCTGATTAATAATCACCTAATTAAAATCCTAGGCATCTAATTGCTGGAAAAAATTTTTTATAAATAAATATATTATTAAAAAAAAATATGTACCCTGCAAACGAAGCAGTCAGGATGCCACTGACTATTAAGCGCTGAGATATAATTTTCCATTATTGCACGATTGCATCCTCCGCATTTAGGAGCGAACATGTCAAAGTAATCCTCACGGCAATAAGGTTTGCCATCACGTTCATGAAATCCATCCTCACCAAATTGCTTGCCGCACTGAGCACAAAAGAAGTGCTCTGTATGCCAAGTCTTCTCTAACGCAGTCACGCATTTCTGAAATAAATAATTAAATTAGTCCTAAAATTAAAAAAAATTTTTTTTAAATTGATCTAATAAAATTCCAGAGTCTCACATCCAAAATTGGTCCATTGCAGTAAGCACAACGAGGTGAGAATAAATTGTGGTAATCATTCTCGCAGTAAGGATGACCTTCTCGTTCAAAAAAGTTGCGAGTTCCAAGTTCCTCACGGCAATGAGTGCAGGTAAAATGTTCCGGATGCCACGTTTTACCTAGAGCAGTGATTACCTGCCCGACAATAGGCTTCTCGCAAGCACTGCAGCATCCTTTCTGGGTTGTATTGATACCTTGACGACTCATATCTGCCTGGAGATTACCAAGCATAGAATCCAACTGGTTTTGCTTTATGTGGGTTGTTGTCAATGTATGACTGCTCTCGCCTTGCTGCGGTTGATACTGGTGTGACGAGTGGGTTTCAGAAAAATGAATCCTAGTTTGTGCTGCTGATCCACCAGTTTCCGTAGGTAACGGACTTGAAGCACTCTTAGTCGCCTTGTTCGGCTTTGCGTAGGGAGAGTCTGTCACTGTTTGATGCTGATGGGTACTACCATTTATCTAAAAGTCAAAAAATGTTTGATAATATTTTTAAAATTAAACAAAAAAAATAAATTGATTAAATAATAAAAAAAATATCCGAAAAATCTTTAGTCTTTGAAATAAATAAATTATTTTGGATAGTTCTAGAGGAAAGTTCTAAACACCTTAGGCTCCTAGTAAGCTTGCAAGACTGACTGAAAAGCTCTCGAGATTGAGTCTCTTGAGGTTCTCAACCCCACTCCAAACCAGAGGAGATTGCTAAGACGAAGGCGATGAAAAAAGAGATGGAAACAGAATGACAGTGGATAATTTTCATTTGCCAACGAAATGGAGGAATACTGACGCTATTTCGGTAACCTAGCCGTCCAAGAATGGGCAGGCTACCTACGTAACTGTTTTTCGTCGATACATATGGCAGCAGTTAGTAGTTGTTAAGTTAGTCCCTTCGGATATTTTTGATTTTAAAAGCTTTTTTTATGATCAATTCAAATTTACCTTGAATTCTGAAAGAGAGGCCATCAGATCGTCAAGCTCTTTCGTTGCATTGCTAGCAGTATGACCGTTCAAATAGCCACTGGATCGCTCCAGTACATTTTGACGACCTAGGTGACTTTCATACACTGGGTGCACTTCGGTAGATGTTTCTTGAATCGTTACTTTTACTCTTCCTTCATGACCGTAATCTCTATCATTTAAAAATTATTTAATTAATTTTTTAAATAATTAATTAATTAGTTTTTAATATGTATATATTCTAAGTTATCAGACTTTGACACGATCTGGATATTATTTTACTCTAGTAATTTTTTTTTTATTTTAATTATTGTTACCAAAGATTGTATAAAGTTATTATTATTAAAAAAAAATGTTTCTATTGTATGACTGATGTATCTATTGATATGTTGCTATAAAAGCTTCCTTATGAGCAATTTATAAATTGAAAAAAAAAAAAAATTGTAATTTTAAAATTAATTAAAAAATTTTTATTATTGAATTTTAAAATAAAATTACCCGTTAGGTACTGCGGTGTTTAATTCTTCCAACAGAGCATCCACAGTTGGACGTGATGTTGATAAGCTGCTTGGTGACCTCATCATTGGACTTGTTTCATTGTTCAATGCTCCAGTTGATGATCTTGTGTCTATAGATTAAAAATTAAATATATTGAAATCAAGTTAATCAGACCAAAATTTTTGTTATTTTATGTTGATTTTTTTATTTTATTAAAAATTAATTAAGGCTTGGTGATCAATGACGAAAATAGATTTTTAAAAAATATGTCAATTTAAATAGTTTACAAGTATTTATATTAATAGATGTAGATATTTGAAGCAACCGAGTGGCAACTTGCCAGAATTTATTAAGTTTTAAGAAAATTTAATATATAAAAAATTTTTGAAAAATTTCAAATAAATATCGATACTAACCGCGTTCTATAGAATAAGAATTGTAGCGAGCATTACTTAAGTCTTGAAGTAATGTGTCTAATTCAGAAAGATTGTTATTCAAAGATGGCATTTTTCCTGATGGCTGATAAGATCCTGAAGTTTTTACTTCCTCTATTATTTCCCGATTTTGGTAAGTCGGCTGAAAAATAATAAAAATTTATTAATAAATATTAGAATATACAATAAAATTTGATAACTGCATATTTATTTTGGCTTTTAAAAACAATTTTGTGTAAGTCTGCCAAAATATTACATTATTATGCGAAATGTATGATGATGATGATGATGCCACGTCTTTGAAAATGTTTCATTAACAGTTACATCATGAAGTAATAGACACTTAAAAATAATTAATACACATCAGCAACTTGTAATTACTTTAATTTATTTTTGTAACTATTTATTTTATGTAACACGTTATTAAAAATTTTTATTTTAATTTTAATTATTTTTCTTATGAAAATTTTCTTTTTAGAAAATATAAATTAAATTAATAAGTGTACTTTTTTCATAAATAATGATAAAAAATGTATCATTATGTTTGTTTATTAAAAAATGTAAATAATGAAAAAAATTAAATTTCAATAAAAAAATTTTACCCACGGTTTAAAATGTCTTTTTTTCCTTTATGTCCAATTTAATGTTATTTGTTGTTTTATGTTATTTTAAAGAAAATTTCAAATTTAATTAAACAAATTAAGACTTAGCTCTAATTTTTTAAAACAAATTAATTTACAATTTTTTTGATAGCCTGTGAAGTTAATCTGATATTATTTTTTTGCTGTTCTTCAAAAATTTATTGATATAAAAAAATCGATTTTTTTTAAACCTAAAGCAACTTGTAATTACTTTAATTTATTTTTATAACAATCTATTTTATGTAACATGTTATTAAAATTTATTTTTTTTTTTAAATTGTGGCTAAGAAAATTTTCTTTTTAGAAAAAATAAATTAAATTAATAAGATTCATCATTATTTTTTTTAATAAAAATTTTCCTTTATGTGTAATTTATTGTTTTATATTATTTAAAAAAAAATTACAAATTTAATTAAAAAAATTAAGACAGCTCTAATTTTTTTAAATAAAATAACTAACAATTTTTTTGCTAGTCTGTAAAGTTAGTTTGATATTTTTTGTTAATTCTCAAAAATTTATTGATATTTTCTTCATAAAAAAATTAATTTTTTTTTTAGACTTAAGAAAATATATCTGAATAATTTAGCAATTGTAAAATCAAAACTCTTAATTTTAAAAATTCTTATCTATTATAAAATAAAAAAAATGATGATCCAATGTGTAAAATATTATTGATCTAAATCCGTAAGATAGCTATAACGAAAACTGGGTTAAAACAAAAATATCTAAAAGCAAACTACATAAAAATATAACGGTGATATCAATATAGTTTTGGAGGAAAATTTATTACTGTTAGTTATACTTGTATATATAACACGTTTATTACAAGTTGCAGATATTTATGAATAGATTATTTTTTATGTAACTGAAAGATTATTTGACCCAATAATACAGCTCTATGACTAGATTTTTTTGTCTTGCTTTTAAACATTAAATTATTAAAGATTATAAATAACTTTATTTATAAATATACAGCCAGAGTCTTGAAATTATAAAAAACCTAATGAACTCATGAATATTATACTTGATTCTATTTTCATTTTATTTAATGATCTTTACAGGTGTTTTCGTGTTAGTAAACAAGCATAACAACACTTAAGAAAATAAATGACAAATAGACATACTAGAAAAATAAAAATTATACTATTTTAGGAGCATCTAGTTAATTTTATGGTTGGAACTTATTCAACTAGTTGTTTGGAATATTTACAAATTATCATCTTCACAAATATTAATATCTATAATTTTATTCTTCTGTCTATTTATGAAAAATTTATTTTTAAGATTTATTAATTTAATTAATTAATTAAAATTTATTAATTATCCATGACAATTATTAAAAAAGTTTATAACGAGTTTAAATTTTTACTAAATTATCTATAATATAAAAAGAAGACAATTTAAGTCTACTAAATTCATAATTTCTTCTTTATAATAAAATCAGAAAAAATCAAATATAGTTTCTTTTTTTTATAAAATACAATATTCAATAAATGAATTTTTTTACTTACCGATTGCGGAGGTAGTGGCGACGTCCGATTGTCATAAGATCGATAAATATTTTGTGGGTGAGTTCGGCTGCCATTCAACGATCCATATCCTGGAGTTGATCTATTATTTAAATGGTGATTTCCATCCGGCGATACCGTATTTTGTAAATCAGCTAGCAATGCATCTGTAAAAAAAAAAAATTAATATGTATAAGAATAATTATTCAGTAAAAAATAAAAGTATAAATTTTTCAATAAATTAAAAAATATTGGAATTATAATTTTTAGTTGATATTTCATCAACGTAATGTTGGGGTGAGCTTATATCTTTAAAAACGTCAATAGTTAAAAAAGTACAGTGCAACTTAATATAATTAAGAAATTACCTTGTATCTTGTGAACTATTGATATTTTTATAGATATAAGCTCATTCTGATGTTACATTCATCAAGAGCTTTAATTTGAGTACCCACATCAATTTTTCATATATTTATATATATCATATATATGTATATATGAAAAATATATGAAAATGCATAGTGGGTACTCAATGAAAGTTCTTGATGAGTAGAACATC